TCTATACCACCCTTTTTTATACTTAAAGGAAAGCACCACAACTAAGCTTAGTACTACTAAAAAGATAAGGACTAGAGGATTGCTGTTAGTAAGAATAGCTAGACAATAAATAAGATTAGTTTAGCTTAGTTAGAGCACTTTTTAAAGTATACTAACGCGTGTATAGTTAGTAGTTACTAACTACTTAACGTATTCCACCACCCAACAGCTCAAACCACCCAACAGCTCAAAATGTCTTGGCACAACGAACACCCTCTTTGTTGCAACATGCCTCAACCACATAACGCGTTACTACGTGAACACAAAGGTAGAGTTAACCTTGCCCTTAAAGCTCTTCATTTAAAACAATTTAAAAGCTAGAGAGCAGCTGCGCGCGCTTTTAACGTTAAACAACACATTCTCTCTACACGCGTCAGAGGAGCCCCATTTATCCTTAAATGAGCACCTAATGGCCGCAAACTTACGCTTACGGAAGAGCAAACAATTGTCCAATATATCCTTAACCTAGATTCGCGAGGATTCGCGCCCCAGCTGTGCGAGGTAGCAGATATGGCTGATAAAGTGTTGGGTGTACGCGGTGGGCAGCTGGTTGGCAAGCACTGGGCTGAGCGCTTTGTAACGCGCTCAGCTGAGCTTAAGATGGCCTTCAATCGAGCTAAAGATAGGCAGAGGATACTGCAGGAGGATCTAGAGACAATTGGCGCGTGGTTTAAGCTGGTAGAGGACACTAGAGCCAAGTACAGCGTACACGACTACGACGTGCACAACTTCAATAAGACTGGCTTCTAGATAGGTGTCATTGGCTTAATAAAGGTTGTCACAGGCGCAGAGAGGCGTACTTAGCCTGAGCTCGTTCAGCCAGGTGATCGCGAATGGGTAACAGTTATCCAGAGCGTCTGCGCTGCTAGATCTTGTACCCTGCCTTTTATTATCTACAAAGGACGCGTTCACATCTCTGCCTGGTACGAGGAGGCAGATATACCGCGCAATTGGAAGCTCTCAGTCTCTCAGAACAGCTGGACGAACAATGCGCTTAGTCTAGAGTGGTTGAAGCACTTTGACGCGCATACAAAGGCGGGCTAGGTAGGGGCGTACAGGCTGCTCATTTTGGACGGCCATGAGAGCCACCTTAACCAGGATTTCAAGGACTACTGCCTTGAACATAAGATCCTCACCCTCTGCATGCCACCTCACTTATCGCACATCCTCTAGCTGCTTAATGTGGTCTGCTTCTTGCTGTTGAAGCGCAAGTACTCTCAGCGCATACAAGACTTAGCACACAAGCGCGTCTTCCACATTAACAAAGAAGGCTTCCTACCAGCCTTTAAAGACGCGTTTTGCAACGTGTTTACAGAGGCAATCTATCGCAAGGCCTTTAAGGCATCAGGACTTGTCCCTCTTAACGCGCAGGTTGTATTAGATCGCCTTGAAGTGCAGCTGCGTACCCTGCCAGAACCCCTCCTCCCAGAGACGCTGTGGCAGTCAAAGACTCCAAGCAATACACATGAGTTTGGATCGCAATCAAAGCTTGTACGCGAGTCCTTTACACGTTCTCCTATTACTGCGCAGGCAGGCTTCTCTTAGCTTATTAGAGGCGGCGAGCTTATGCTGTATCAGAACGCGCTTCAAGCAGCCCGGATTACTGAGCTTGAAGAGCAATTAGCAGTGATGACCAAAAGGAAATCGCGCAAAAGGAAGCGGATCCAGCATGGCGGCACAATGGAGTATGGTGAGGCAGCAGCCCAGGTGGCCGCAGAGGCCTCTATAGCCGCTGAGCGGTCGAAGAAGGCTCGTCGTGGTGGTGATCAAGAGAGAGCCCAACCAGCTTTACGGCGCTGTGGGAACTGCGGCAAGACTGGGCACAACGCGCGAACGTGTAAAAAGGATGTAGAGGAGACTTCTAAATTAGAGGTTAGTACAGCGTACGCAGGCTCCTTGTATAATAGTGATGAAAATAGAAATTTGTAACTAGTGTTGGTTGTGCCAAGACATTTTGAGCTGTTGGGTGGTTTGAGCTGTTGGGTGGTGGAATACGTTATACTTAATAGCTATAAGAGCTACTAATTACTTTTTTTCTAAAACAAGTATAAAGAAAGTAAGGTTAACGTACTCCACAAGCGAGCCGCTCACCCAAGCGAGCCGCTCACTTTTGCCAAGACCACACCCAACTTCACACAACTTACAACACTATAGTAGCAACTTAGGTCCTACTGCAGGCTATAGTATACTAAATTATTTAGAAATACCTTACACGTTATTCTTGCACGTTCGCGCGTTGTGCCCTGTCTTACCATACTTGCTACAGTGTTGTAAAGACTGTGTACTTAGTTGAACGCGCCTCCTCTTGCTTGCCTTCTTCCCATTGCCACAGGCTTCAAACTCCTTTAGGGTAGTTAAGCGCACACCTTCACTAACAGTGAGAGCCCCCTCCTTTTGGATCTGCTTCCTCTTGTGTAATTTACGGTGTATGGCGGCCTTATTAGCAGCTTAAAGCTCTGCGACCTAGTTGCGCACTAAAACTAGTAAATGCGCCATCATCTCTGCGCCTTTAGTGAGCTGATTAAGGGCATTAACTATTAAAGTTAGTAAGCTATCCCTATGTTGCTGGATCCTCTCTTAAATTAGCTTTGATTGCGACCTAAATTCTAGGGTGTTCTGTAGGGTTTGAGAGTGCCACGTACTCTTATCTATAGTAGGTAGTGGTGGAGTACACAGGCGCACTTCAAGCTTTGATATTACAGCCTCTAGATTAAAGGGGACCAAGCCAGCACCTCTAAATCCTCCCTGGATATTGCTCCTAGTAATAGAGGCATTAAAAGCTCCTTTAAAGCATGGTAAGAACTCAAGTTTTGTGATGCGAGTAATCTTGTTGCGCATCAGCAGCTTAGCTTGGCGACCATAGGCCTTCTTCATTGGGGCAAAACAACCCACGTCAAGTGGCTGCAATAGGTGCGACGAGTGAGGAGGCATACACAGAGTGATGATCTTGTGTTCCTCACAGTACTGGTGGAACTTGACTAAGTTGTGGCTCTTATGGCCGTCCAGAATGAGCAGCCGATGGCTGCTAACAGTGCGCTCCTTTGTGTGCTTATCAAAGTGCTTCAGCCACTTGATGCCAAGCTCATTGTTGGTCCAGCTGTTCTTAGAGACAGTAATAACCCAGTCGTGAGGTATAGATGGCTCCTTGTACCAAGCAGAGAGGTGGTGCTTGCCTTAGAAGATAACAAAAGGTGGGATACTCCACCCTGACGCGTTGATGCCCTAGATAATGCTGGTCTACTCTTGGTCGCCCTGCTGTACTGTCTTTGGCCTTCCTTGACGCTCAGAGCCTGTGACAACAGCTCCTGTTGATATAACGCCCATCATGAACCCAGACTTGTTAAAGTTGTAGGTGTCTTTATCTAGGATACTATACTTGGCTTTAGTATTCTCTACTAGGTGGAACTAGCCCTAGATCACCTTAGGATCCTTGCAGAGGGCTCTCTTGTAGTTGTACTTTTAATTGAACTTGACTGTAAGCTCTAGGCGACGCTTAACAAAGTTGGCAGCCCAGTTCTTGCCAACAGGAGGCTGGTGGCGCTCAGTGAGTAGAGAGTTAGCCATATCCTCCACATCAGTAAGCTGGGGTGGATATCCTCGTTCATCCAGCTTTAATATATGCTGAACAATCACATCCTCCTTAGTGCTTGTGAGCTTCATTAAATTAACCTTGCAGTCGCGTTGTGGAGAGGCTCTAGCCAGTCAGTTACTAAGAGTCCTTTGAGGCACTCTGTAGATCTTTGCAGCGCGTCGCTGGGAGAGTGTTGCGTTGCGTTTGATAGCCTTAATAGCAAGCTGAATATCTGCTTTATTTGAGGGCTTTTTCGCGTTCTTGTGTTGAACCATTACAAGTTGTGTGAAGTTGGGTGTGGTCTTGGCAAAAGTGAGCGGCTCGCTTGGGTGAGCGGCTCGCTTGTGGAGTACGTTATTACCCTTTGCATGCCTGCTTATGCCTTACACCTCCTTTAGCTGCTTAATATAGGTTGTTTTGCTGCGTTAAAGCGTGCGTACAAGAAAGAGATTAAGTTAGAGCCTTAGTAAACAGCTACATTAACTATATTAACAAGAAAGCATTCCTAGACACCTACAGTAAGGTGCATAAGGGTGTTTTCTTGTCTAATAATATTAGATCTAGCTTCAGAGCAGCTAGTTTAGTTCTAGATACCTAGGGGCAGTGCTATCAAAGCTTGATGTGAAGCTTCGTACGCCAACTCCACCTCTGCTAACTGCCACCTCCTAGCAACTAAGGACTCCAAGCAACGCGCTTGAGATAGGTGCACAATCAACCTTACTCTTGAACCAGATTCGAACGCACAGCAGCTCATCTCTAGCTTCAATAATTGAGATAGTGCAGCAGTTCTAGAAAGGAGCTAAAATGATAGTTTATTGTAACTGCCTGGTGCAGTGTCGGGTGGAGGCTGGGATCAACAATTGTATTGCTATCTGTTGTCGTGTTGTGATGTTTGTGTACGGAGCTCTCAGCTCTGAGGTAAGTGCACTTGCCCACTAGGCGGTACCTTCTACAACAAGATATCATGTGACTTCACCCACGTGGTTACATTTATTCTCAGACGCTTTTGGCTGCTTGGATTGCCAACTTAGAGGCAGCTAACAACGCTGCTTCTGCACGTAAAAGTCGCAAAAAAAAGCGTATCTAGGAAGGAGGGACCCTATCACAGGCAGAGGCAGAGGTAATAATTGCTAAGAGGGAGGTGGCGGAGCAGGTGGTTGAGGAGAGGCGTGCAGAGAGGCGGCTGGCGGGTGTCACCAGGCGGTCAACTCCACGCTGCAAAGGATGCGGCAACGCAGGCCACAATATGCGCACATGTAGAAGAAATGCAGCTGAATTAGGTGAGTAATTATATATATTTTTCATCCTAATCGCTTGTTGTGGCGTTAAGTTATTATGGTTGAGAGGTGGGCAGCTACATCAGGGTGGCCGAATCGATGGTGTGGCCGAAGCGATGGTGGATCACGTTATGAGTAAAATATCTATATGTATCGGCGACATGCGGCTGAGGGAGGCTTGGTTGAAGCAACGCAGGCTGCGCCACGCCGCGAAGAACATAAGTACATTAAGGGTACAACAGTGCGTTTACATCAAGCGTAACACGATGCGCGTATGATACTACATCTATTGGGACCCCCCTGCTTGCGTTGCCGTGCATGTCGAAAGCTGCGAAGTACTTGTGGCTTCTACGTCTCTTAGGTATCGGAAGCTACGCCTTGCGCCTTATCGATACTATAACCTTAAACAAGATCTAATCACACAGAAAGCTGGAAACAAAGTAGGCAGCCTTGCATCCGGCCATACATTATGCTTCAAAGAAAGACTTCAGGGCGGTCGGGCCGATTGTACTGCGATAATGTCAATTTCTCGTATGAATTGAGGTGTGGGGGCGAAGCATCTCGGGGCCCCAATCACCAGCGTGACCGCCAGCCAATAACGCCACTGAATTAGTGGACGGGAACGCTGGCGTAAATCTGGAGGTATCCACTTCATCGTGAACTGAAGGTTGAAAGCGGCTCTTGCGCCTGCCGATTTGTAATACTTGCATCCATGCTAGAGTAGTCAAAACTCCAATGTTTTCCAACAACGCACTCCAACCTGGCTGCCTTTATATCAGCCGTCGACTCGTCTGCCATCGAGCAAGGCTGGGCTGAAGATAATACCGCATGCAAGCCACATGCACGCCCGACATGATGTGATAAGTGTATTGGGGGCCGTTAATACGCCACGATAGCAGGACGCAGGCTCTGCGCTGGAACCTGTAGCGTTGGTTATCTCGTCTTAGCTATCCTATCCTTTATTCGAACTTGCACCTCAAAGTATACGCAGGAGGACGACATTACCCACATCCTAAGATCCTGACTAGACTGAGTTTACGCTCTAGTAACAGTTGCTAACCGAATCGCGCTAGCGCGCTGGACCCTCCTGAGATCCAGTTGGCGATGGCGGACAGTCAGGACACTCAACACCAATCTACCCACGCCAACACGAGTATCGCATCGCCCGCATCAAGACATAACGACACATATAACCCCCTCGAAGACCTACGCGAACAGGCGTACGAAAGCGATCCTCATGGGCGTTTTGGCAACACTGGCGAAATCGCGCCACCCTATAACGATGACGACCGAGCGGCGAGAGGCGCGTCGCCCAGTATCAGTACACTTTCAGCGGTCGAAGCCGCATTCAGAGAAGGGTCTACAACCGCGCTAGTTCAAGATTACCGTCCAGCAGTCGCTCATACCAGCAATCCCGAACGTGTGCAACACAACGATACGCGAGCCCCGCGACCCGACGTTTTCGCAGATCTACATCCCGCAGACGAAGACACCGTCCTTGACCCAAGCGATTCGCTGAACTTACCATTGAGCACGAAAGACGAGTTCCGTCCAGACAAGGATTGTCCAACGCGACGAAACTTCCGAAGTTCGCGACTTACATGGCTCAGTGGTACCATCATCTTCATATCCAGCGTCGCGACTGCTCTATCGGCTTTATTTGTCGTGTTAGCGTTGAAAGGCCAGCGCTATAGAAACTACATTGGCACGGGCCCGGAAGCGAAGATAAGCATCTCAGCAGCCATACTTTGGACATCTGTTGTGGCCAAGACAATCGAACTATCGTTCGTCACTGCTTTCGTGGCTTTTCTGGGGCAGAAGATCAGTCGAAGAGCCATGGCGGATAGCAAAGGCCGAGGGGTATCCATATCAGAACTATCCATGTGGCGCTGGGTTGTGCAGCCTGGATCCCTTGTCACCTCATCCGAGATCGCGCGATATGCTGGATTCTCTGCACTCGGAACTTTGACTTTACTAAGCACTATTCTATCTACGCTCTACGTAACAGCTGCGACTGCTCTTGTACAGCCGGTAGCGAAGCACGGCGATTGGCATGATAAGACTATGGTCAGTTCGGTGCAGACCGACTTCGCCAATATCAACTACGTCCAAAGCCTTTGTCAAACACCAGTACCAGACGAAGAAGCATCTATGTGGTGTATGGACTCAGAAAGCGCCGGTAAAAGCTTCTATAATATGGCGCAGTTCCTTGCCCATTGGGAAGACGTCATAGGCGCCGGAAACAACGCATCAAAAGAGCAGGAGCACAGGCCCACTTGGATTGATCTACCATATGCAAATACAAAAATCGTTCCTTAATGGATCCATGTTGCCGAGACTGCGGAGGCGTCGAGGAAACATCAGCGCGTTATCAACAACGTTTCCCTTGCATTGCCACATATTGGCGTTTCCAACGCAGCACGCGATCAGAGAAATAACATGCCTCAATCTGAAATGTCAGACACCATCGCGCCATATTCTCTATGGGCATCGGTGCCTTCGCCTGTCATGAAAGTCTTGTGCGTTCATATGAATGAAACGGAGCTGCAACCTATCATCTACGAAGCTTGGCCAAACAGAGGCTTAGATTCGGAGGCCTGGGCCATCGGGTCAGGGCCACGCGACAATGCAACGACTGCAAATGAGACAGTAGTTGATGAGCTGTTCGGATGGACCAAGAAAGATACAGATCACATGTTAGACTTTCCGCCAGTCTTCGCACGATACCCAAGGCCATTCAACACAATTATCAACAACACAGCTTGGGCTTGGGGCAGACCTGCGATCTATCTGTTAGGGCAGAGTGGCCCGGTTGAAGGCGTTTTGTCCGATCTGACTGGTGTATATCCACTTTGTAAGCTACAGGTCGAGATAACATCTCATTGCAGCACAACTCATAGTGTGTCTGTTTCCGAGTCTGCAGCGGAGGCTTTATGTGGAGACCGGGCGAGCGATATGGCATATTTCAAGAACGCCGAAAATGCTACTGATAATACAACCACTCGTGTTCTTTACAACTGGAAGGATATGGCTACTCTATGGGCGAATAGCATCTCCTTGGACGGCGGTCTCACGTACAGTAACGCTACCTTCCAACGCACCTTGATGAACCTGGCCCTGAAACCAGAGGATTCCAATCCCGCGAACTTCCAGGTTCAACTGAACCCCCCCCCCCTCCCAAGTCTAGCCGAGACATTGGCGGTAATGGCGAGTGATTCTATCCCCATGTCGTTGCGGGACGGTCCTTTCGTAACCCATTGGGTAAGTTCTAGATGCAGAATCTTTCAGTAAACAAACATTTATGTAGAAGAAGAGACTGACTAGTTCAAGAACTACACTCATCCGAATCTTGACGAACCACAGACGCAGTGGTTCAGAGCTAAAATCAAGTCACAAGAGTATGCATCTGGCGGAGTGGACAATGCATCAAAAGGATGGCTCTTGATTCTCATTGCTACGTTCCTTCTCAATTTCTTTTTGCTATCTTACTTTATCTTGCAACCAGGGTTTGTGACGGACTTTACTCAGCCAGCACAGCTCTTCGCACTCGCTGTGAACTCACCACCTGCTCAAGCGCTTGCAGGGAGCTGCGGAGGCGGTCCCGAGGGCAAGGATTACAAATTTGGCTGGTTCATCAATCATGAAGCCGGCCATGTTTACATTGAACCAGCGTCGAGAACAGAGCCGACATCACTCAATGACGAGCATGTTCGGAATCGCATCGTTGCCGCGTCGAAAGAATACTGGAAAACTCTGACGAGGAGAGCAGTGTGGGGACGTTCGAAGCCGAACAAGGAACCCCGTACAGGAGGAGCGACCTCGGCATCCGATACTGAGCCGCTCCAACCTTCTCGCAACACTCAGAGCGTACTACTAACACACTCACGGTATGAACTTGAGGAAATATCACCGCGCCTTTAGCAGCAATGAAACAATCGTTGACTCCTGCTTTAATAGATGCTCGCATCTGCCACATCTGTCGACTATTCCACGTTACGCCCTGCACCTTACTGGTCTTTATGTCAACGAAGGATTGGAGGAGGCTGTCATGACTTTCACAGGGCGTTGTTGACAAGGGTGATTTTTCCACCAGTTGTTCGTGTGCTTATTTGGTGTTGCATAGGTCGCTTAGCCGAAGACCCTTTCAGACTCAGCCCTTAACGATCTCCCGAGACACAGTAAGGGCGCACTGGATCCCTAGGATATGGAACAGAAGCTAGTTCATGTTGGAATGAAGATGTTACTACCCCAGCACGATTATGTTCGTCTTTTGTTTTGCTCTGCATGCTTCTCTCGCCCGATACCCCACGGAGTCAAGTTAGCGCCCGTCATTGGAGCCTGTAATACGACGCGGGTATGCCGTTTCTGCGCATCGACACCGAGTACCGCGCTGCATCCTTTCTCAGTCTGCACATGAAATATCCTCGAAACTCCGTTCCCGATCCATTGCCTGTTCGGACCACGAATCACTTGCGGGAAGCCTTAGATCGAAGCGAATGTCCCGTCACCGTCTGATGCCGCCAGGCCAAGATCCTAGGCCTTCGCCTACAATCCGGTTGAGCGCACCACGACATGCAGAGTTCTGGTACCTTTCTGGATATCCTCGCCATGTCCACCAGTCACATGCTATACAATATGAAAGCCACGAAAGCCACGGTCGATATGACTCACCGTATACTGAGCTTGGCACACCAGCAATCGTTTCGACTGGTTGACGCTGACAGCTCCGGCAACCCCCATGAACGTTTCTCTCATGATCTAGGCCCATAAATAAAGCCAGGCCAAAGTGTAGCCAAGTTCATTCCTAATCATATTGCACTCGTTCCCGTTCTCATCATTTTTCGTCGTCCACAATGCAGCAAGACGCCAAAATTAGTCAAGACCCCGAAAGGCTCAGCTCTCACCCTTCCAGTTGCGTACCAGCCGAGAAGTCAGTGCTCAACGGTCAAGCTGTGCAAGATGACTGCTCCCAGATCAAACTCGACCCCGAAGAACACCCGTTCAATTGGCCCGCGCAAAAGGAGTGGATGGCGACGATAGTCATTGTCCTCATGACTGCGAATATCACCTTCTGCTCGAGTGTTCACGCTGCGGCAATCCCAGGCGTCACCGAAACATTTGCATGTTCTCCGACCGTCGCAACGTTGGGAGTAACGACATTCCTCGTCGGATTTGCCTCAGGCCCCATGTTATTCGCACCGCTCTCGGAAGCATTGGGAAGAGAGATTGTCTTCCGTATTACCATGTTTCTTTTCTTCTGCTTCAACATCGGCTGTGGGCTATCGCCTAACCTTCCTGCTCTTCTGATACTGCGATTCTTCAGTGGCTTCTTTGGGTCACCCGTTGTGACCAACAGCGGCGGATGCTTGGCCGACATCTGGCCTCAAAGCCATCGTTCGGTTCCATTTGCACTGTTCACGACGGGCAGTTCCCTCGGTCCAGTCCTAGGGCCAGTGGCAGGAGGTTTCATATCGCAGCACCTGAACTGGAGATGGCTCTATTGGGTTGTGACCATCATTGCCGCAGTCGCATACACCGCTATGCTCTTCTTCCTTCCCGAGACATACACGAAAACGTTGCTCGAACGTAAAATGGCAAAGGTCGGCATGAAGCCCCCACGGCAATCCTTCAAAGAGCAATACTCCACTCGTTCGATGACGTATGACACTAAGCTTCCAAGCACCCTTCATCTACCTTGACCAAGAGGAAGAATATTTTCCGAGTGATTTTGGGGCTTTGTAAGTGATCGGGTACGGGCGACTGACAGACTCCGACCTGACGCTGGCAGCCTCGAGCACGTGATTCCAATGAACGGAACCAAGCCATTTAGCCCACCGCTAAATACTCGTCCCTGTTTGAACAACTTGGACCTGTTGAATCAATACGGCAGCTCGGGTGAAAACGTATTCTTGACCGCAAAGGACGACCCGACAACTTATCCCCAATGGCTACATGGACAGAGGCCCAACGATGACAGGGTTGATTCAGCCAGAGTCATCACTATCTTTGTGAAGAAACAGATTTTGAATGGAGATGGATTTCTTGAAGATGTCGTTGACATGTTTTCGTTCTACTTCTACAACTTTAAGCGGGACGTCATTTTGGACAAAAGACAGAAGGTATCTCGAAGATATTTTGTACACAAATACGGATTCGTCGGGGCAAGCATCGTCAGATACGCGTAGGTAGTGTGAGCTCCGGAGGTCGTTGAACATATCCTTGAGGTATTCGAAATCGCGTGGCGCAACACTTTTCAAGACGTACTTGTGGTCTCCAGATCTGAAATGTAAAGTTGGTATTTAAGGGTCTATGTTTACCTAACTTGGGTCAACTTCCGTCGCGAGATACATGCGCCCCTGGTTCCCAGGTTTCTCTTGAAGAATACGTTCGACGAAGTAGCGACGACCTGACTGACCCAAGACTCGTGTGAGTGCAGCCGCTCGTGTAAGCGTTTGGGCAGATATGACGACACAAATGGGTCAAACGCAAGTTGAGTAGTTCGCAATATCCACATCTAGCAAGGAAAGAAAGGAGAAGGCTGAACAAATCACAGTGGTCATCAAATTCGACAGTGAAAGGGCGGGAAACGAGACCACAAAAGCGAGGGGCGTACCGTGAGTTTTTCTTGGAGTTGCAAAGAGAATTTATTTTCTCGGCATAACGTAAAGCCATAAACTTTGCTTGCAAGTGAAGGATGGTCTAGCAGCTTGATGCTTTTTATTAGGTAATTTGGTGATCTTGACTGGCCACGGGTATTTACGATCGTAGCAAATCTACTGGAGGTGTCCATCTATCATTCAATCAATGATGTAGACCTTACTCGTCTTCGCGCCCGTAGGCACTACCCTCCCTTGAGCCCATGGTTAGTCCCAGTCGTTAAATGTATGCACATCCGCAGGTCGACTCCGCTCTACCCTAGTATTCGACAATCTTCATCCGGTTCCTCAGTGTGTCAGGCAACTCCTCCTTCTTCACCAGCCCCATTCCAACCAGATCGCCCCAGACGAACATGGCCCTGTCCTGGGCATAAGCGAGGTAGTCAAACTCCTCATCTTCCTGTGCCTTGTATAAATCAGTATCCTGGTCCAGTTGAATGTCCGGTTTATCCTCGTCCTGTGGCTCCGTCTGCTTGGTACTCACGGCGGGGTCCTCTGCTTTCTTTGGTTCTGCCTCAGTTCTAATCTCAGCTGTGGCGCCATCGAGGGCCGCGGCGCTAGGATTTGCTGAAGTGCCGTCTGCTGCGGCATCGAAATCAGGCAGGCCGGGGACGTGGGCTTGGACGATGCCCCAGGCGACCCACATAGCCGAGTTGGCGATTCGCCACAGCTTGGTCTCGGCCATCAGGCGGCGGGCTTCTTCTTCCGTGTTGCGCTCCGCTTGAGCTTCCTGCTCCTGGTAGGATTGGCCTGGAGGTGCACGTGAGTCCAACATGAAAGCAGAAATGGTGCTAGGAGCGGCCGTGGCAGTGAGGGCAGTGGTACTAGCAGAGGTGGGAAGGGGGCCAAGGTGAGGGGTAGGAGGGTTAGACGAGGCGCCTCCGGGGGTAGTGAAGCCAGGGGAGTGCATGAGGTATGCTCGGATGAAGCGGTACTGCTCCTCGACGGTGGGGTAATAGCTCGTCGCGCATGCGAACGGATAGTCAGGGTTGTGGTAGTTGTAACACCACTCAGTCTATATGCATTAGCGACAGCGAGATGAGGGCGTCAACGCATATATGAGCCTTACAAAGTGATTGGCAAACTCGAGACCAGGAACGTTTGCGTTCGAGTATTCGAAGTCGATAACGACAAGCTGCTTGTGCTGGTTTGCGGGAAGAAGAAGTGGTGACTCGCCCTCGGGCTTCATGCGGAGGATGTTGCCATATTGTGTCTGTCATAAAGTCAACATGTAGTGTGTGCATGGATCTGATAAGGCTTACGTCGTTGTGTGCGAACACCATGCGCTCATTGATCTTCTCAATGCCGCCGTACTGTTCCTCAAGCCACCTTCGGTACTTCTCGATCATCTGTCTGAAGACAGGCCACTCGACGCCACAGATCAAGCCTCGGTTCCTCCAACGATCAGAAGCGGACTTGACCGGTACATCGCCGCCTTCAAGAATCTGTTCATCGAGCCAAGTAACAACCTGCTCGCAGCGCTCGACCCACTTGTCCCAGTTCTGCCAGACGAATGGACCGGCATCTCGCTCTGGCTTGAGGAGCTCAATACCCTCGTGGAGTTCTCGCATACGCTTGGCGATCTGTCTAGATGTTTCAGGCTGGCGCAGTTCCTCGAAGCTGAGTGGTTCTGCGTGAAGGAACTCCTCGAATCGGCCGTTCTTGAAGGTGCCCAGCAGACGTGGGCCAATGCGCTTCCGTCCGAGACGCTGTAGAAGCTGGAGCTCCTGCTCGCGGTTGATGAGATGGTCTACCTGAGGTCCGTAGATTCGGAGGAGTAGTTTGCTGAAGCACATGTTAGCACAAGATCGCCTAGACCTTATCAGAACTTACGGAGGTGGGTTCTTTGGTACAGGTACACCATCTGTACGCTCCTCCTTCGGCTTGACGTTTTTGGGGGGAGATACGACGTAGACGGCGTTGGTCATGGCACCGCTGAGTCTCTGGACTTCAATCTCGTCGTGCTGGTCCATTGTCACCCTGCGCCAGCCTTTCAGGCGGAGAGTGTGCGCTAGGCGGAGGATCTCGAATCTGAAAGCTGTCCAGGCCTCCTTCTCCTTCCGTCTTCTTTTCTCTGCATCCTCATCCTCCGGCTCAGAGTCCGCATCATCGATGCTGTAAGCCATCGTCTTCGAGTTATCGAGCACAGCGTCGCAGCCAGGAACAGTCTGGTCAACCGAATCGAAGTAATCCGAGTCGTTCGAGATGGCAGAATGGCGCTTGAGGCCTGTTGACATCCGGCGAACATGGTTGACCTTCCTCTTTGCATCTGCGGGAGTCATGTTCAGTGTCTTTTCCAAGATGCCTGCCAGCTGGTCCAATGCATCCGACCCATCGGATGAGTCGGAATCGCTTCTGCCTCGTGAAGATACAGACACCTCAAGCTGGTCCTTCAAGCCTTCTTTTGGCCCCTCACCATGTTTGGCATCTTTGGCGGCCTTCCGCCTTGCCTTGCGTGTGGCACGCCTCGTTCGCTCGGACTTGAGCCAGCTGTGGATGTGTTTCGTGAGTCTTTCATGGGCATGAGCATGGTGATGGGTTTCATTTGAACTCTCCGAGATCAAAGAGGTGAGTGAGGGATTGCCGTCCTTTGATTCTCCGCTCTGGCTTTGCAGCTTAGATGAACTCATATGCTCAATCGATGGTCTGCCGGAAAGTCGCTTGCCGCTAATGCTAGCAGGATAATGTCTGGAGGGTCTGTCGAGGTCGAGGTAGTCTTTCGCTTCAAGCTCCTTGTGCTTTGCGATCATGAGAGGTGAAATGCCTTCATCGGGAAACGAGACAACTGTGAGGGGAGTATAAGCTAGCATTCAAGTTGTTGTTGCGTTGGAGGGTCATGTTGCTTCGGACTCAGGTTTCTGCGGCCGGTTTCTCAGACTGCCGCATGCAATGAACGCATCTTGAGTACACAAGATTTTGCTGTCACTACAGCCCACTCGGAATTGTAGATTGTATTGCATTGAGCAAGCGGGGTGCGATTTGCGCAAACATTGACAGGAAAAATACAGTTCGGATTGAGCATTGAGACAGACAGAGAGAGCATTGCAGGCGACATGGATGGATGCATGGGTTTGGCAGATGGTGCCAAGCTTGTTATGGGGAGGACGAACCTTTGGTAGACGCGCGGGGTGACAAGCTCCCCTCCGCAGCGTCTGGCTGCTTATTGGAGGACGCCATGATTGTGTAGCTGGATGTACACGAATAGTGCCAGGTGGAATAAGCTGGAAGGTTTTCCGAGGATTACACACACACTCAGCGCAAGAGTGAAATCGGTAGGTAGAGGATGCGTTGGAGGAGAGCTGGTGTTAGTGGGCGAAGCAGCACGTGGGCAGCTGATCGAGGTCCGTGCCAACGGACGGAGCTGCGCTTTTCTGGTAAGTGAGAGAAAACCTCAGTGAGAGATAACGACTCCAAAATCAACATTCTAGAGGCGTGTCCGCTGCTTGTGATGTAAGTTGTGTGGAGAGCGTGGCGCAGTTATTAATTTGATTTACTTATACTTGCTTTTACACACGCGTACGGCCTTCCAGGGTCCTACGAGACCTTGGCGATCTACGTCAGGGCTGGGAAGCGTTGCACGAATCGCAGCGTCGCGGCGAGATGGTGGATCAAGTTTCGGGCTGACAGCTGCGGTGCTGGTTGCGGGACAGGCTTGTGCCATCTTCACGGTCGCAAATATTCTCACAGCATAAGTGTACGCACGGTTTCGCTGCTGACAGTTCACTCGTGTCCAAACGCCGCGCTATGGTTCTAATAATGAAATTGAACAACGGCTGTCGCACCAGTTGTGGACAAGTATGGTTGCCGAGGAGACAAAACTTGTGGAAGATAAAGGAAGAGTACAGTCCACCTGCGTGCACTTCTCACGCTGCCCATTCGACCGTTTCCAAAGCGAGCCTGTGCATGTGTTAGCTGATTTGAGTGTCAAAGTTATGGCAAAAGAACTTACAAAACCAACATGAGTGTACTAGGCAAGATCCATACCACGTAACTCTGGAACAAGATCTTAGACATAGCGCCCATGTAGACGTTGTTGATCTGGCAGATTTGGGCCAGTTGTAGCGCAGTAGGCGCACCGCTGAGCAGGAAGCAAACGATGACGAAGATAGGATCGTCGACAATGCTGACAGGTACGTATTTGGCAATGAGAGCCAGGATCGGGGACATGGCGATTGTCGGGATAAGCATTCGGCTAATCAAAGATGCGATGACAAGCTTCTTCTCGACCTTGGGATCTTCCATAGAATGCTGATCCTCCTTTGGGAGCGTGTTGCGAGCCAGGTTGGCGCCCAGAACAACCAATATCAAGGGAACAGCAACCTGTCCACTCTGGTTAACAGCGCGGGTCAGAGAGGTGCTGACAAAAGTGCCAGGGTCGAAGAAGAGGTGCTGCAGCTGAGGGACTGAGGCTACAACGATGGCGGCCAACATGGCCCACAGAGGAGGGTTCATGAAGGCCCAGACACCCTTAGTAAATTTTGCAACGAAAGAGCCAACTTTGCAAAGTGTTCGCTGAAGCCACTTGGGTAAGGCATTGAAGACTGTGTGGCCGGCACGGGAGAATGCGTTTGAGATAGATGTTCCGGCGCGTTGGATCCCCAACTTGGCTCGCTTTGGCCAACCCTTGGGACCTTTGGGTACGATGTCCTTCTTAAGTGCGTTCAGAGCGTTGAATGCTCCGTTGCCGTTTGTGTGGCCATTCGCATGGCCGTTCCTGCCATGGAAATCTCCCTCTCCTGCGACTACAACATTGCCGTTGGTTGGTGTGACGAAGTCGGCTTCAGCCAGGACGTCGCCACGGTCTGGAATCGAGTCTGTGTCGCTAGTGCCTGCGGAAGTAGCGTAGCTGGTAACATTGCCTGACTCATAATCCGAATGTGAGTCGTCTAGCAGGCGCTGTGCTTCCTCTTCGCTGTATTCGCCGCTCTCGAGAGAGTCGATAGTTCCACCATCTTCTTTCTTGTATGTGTCTGCAGGAGCCAGGAGGACATTGAATCCCCAAGTCCATCGAACCAGCTGTCCAAGCTGCTGGAAGATGAGCAGATAGAGGATACCGCGAGCGCCGACTTCATTATCGTTGTCACCGGGTATTCTGTCCCAGTGGAGGCCGGAGATCGTCTTCGAGAGAGAGATAACGAGGGAGATGGGAAGCGAGTTTGAGTTTCCAAAGACCTGGATGCTTATCAGCTGCGGCTCATCTAGTCTTTGGGGGGGCACATACGGCCATTGCGACAACGAAGTTCGACTGCCTCTTCTTGAAGCCGAAGCATTTGGCAACAATGAGCGCAGCGAGGTACGAGATGATGGTCTGGACGACAAAGATAACGGGAATCACAGCAAGGTCGCCCAGCTTCCCAGCCGTCAGCTGTGATGCAAGCTTGGTAAAGACTGCATCGTCTTGTCAGCATTGCGCACACCATCAAGATGTATTACGCGCGAAAGAACGCGTCAGCTCTTTGTACTCACTAAGACAAGGGGTGAACAGTTGTGTGTTGAGATTCGCAAGGAACTTCTGGCTCTCTGCGTCGAACTGGCCCATTCGCGCAATGATGTAGCCAGGCGCGCTCACGCATACGACCTCCATGACGGCCTCGAAGACCAGCAACGTGAGGTTGGCGAAGTCGGGGTGCGAGCTGTGCGCTTTCTTCTTGAAGACCTCCATGAAGCCGCCATGGTTGCTGTAGTCGAACGAATGCGAGGCCATGGAGACAAAGTTGTTGGGATTGGCAGCGAGGTCGCGCAGGCGCAAGGCCTGGGGACTCGTGAAGAAAGGCATCCAGAGATGCCGGAGTACCTGACGCGCGATGGGAAGGTGCGGGTGGGGGAGAGGATGTTTGGGATGCTGGGATGTTGTTCTGCTTTGAGGCACCCTGTGTCTTGTTTCAGTCGAAAGATGGCAGATCGACGTCACAGAGGCGCGATTGAGCGGAGCGCGTCGCGGAGGAGACACTTTAAGAGCAACTTTAAGAGAGCACTACCCTAATGACTACGGCGGTCGAGACGAGGACCGATGCACCGTGGACAGCGCTGGCGACCCAACGCAATTGCTTGCAGGCGCAGCAGCCAAGACGTGCTTGCTCCTGGGCACTTTGCGTCGATGGCGAGCCTGCTTCGTCTCGTCCCAGCTGGCTGCGCTAGAGTGAACACCGCGCACCAGAGAGGCAAGGCTAGACGGCCGTGCCGGTCCACATCGTGCTGCAGGTTCTGGGCCGCATCAAGAATCCCATGTGCATCGTGCAGTGCCGTCATCGCTGGAGCTCTGACTGATGGGCTTCACGATGCCCAAACATGGAAATCGCCAGGCTGTCCCTGTGCACGACCTGGAACCCTGAAGGCGTCCACTGCACTCCACAAAAGCAGCCCAAGAGGGCCCTCGCAATCACCGCGTCCTGCTGAAGCTGGCGCAGCTGTCTGTCAAGTGCACATCGTGTCTTACGCGATCTGGCCGCATGTGGGCATCAAAGACGGGTGGTCCTAATCAAACAAGTCCGCTGCTATCCTAAGTAAGCGGCAGCCCTTCCGGCAAAGCAGGAACTGGAGCCTCAGCCAGCAGTCGCAATTTTCTCGCAATCTCATGTCGTGTAACTCGTTTCCTGGCCGTGCTCGTCCATCCTGAAATTACACTACCCGGACTCTCTGCATACGTCACTGGCATTTTGGCTCTCTAGCATCCTGGTCGCACCGCACCGCCACCCGTGCGTGGGGCCCTTAACGTGGACTCGACGGTCAACCTTATACAAGTAACACCCACAGATCACTAGATCGCCCTCCGCTCTCCTCCTCGGTGGAGGCTCCGTCACCTGACTGCAGTCCGCTCGCTCGTTTATTGCTATCGACTCCTCTGTCCTCTGTGTCTCTCCCTGCCCTCCTCGACCCCGCAGTAGCAGGCTGCCAGATATCCCCAGGACAGTCACTCGCGCTCCTCCGCCATGGCCGACTCCGCCGCATCCACCCCCGAGGGCGAGCTCAGCGACACTCCCTTCGACAGCCCTTCCCCGTCCTCTCCTCCCTTCCCCTCGAGCCCCTCCGCCACGTCCCCCTTGTCGCTCAATGTCGAGCGCCCCACCGCACGCACGAGCGTCACGACTGGTGCCACTGCCAACATGACGCCGTCGTCGACTCCCTTGGGCAATATCAATGCTGCCCGGAATCCTGGTGGAGGCTTTCGCCAGGCTCCTCCCACGATGGCCAGCAGAGCCAGCGGCCTCAACGTTAACGCAGATATCCTGAAGAGACTAGAGGCGGTGCGTCTGGGTCGACAGGGTGCCCCACCGGCTGGCGCCGCGAACCTGCCACAGAGCCCTGGACCAGTGCCAAACAACATGTCCCCTAAGGGTCCTATGGCGGGCGGTGTACCCACTGGCTTCGCGGGTGTTGTGCCCCCCAATTTTGCCGGACGTTTACCTGGAGGCAAGCCGCCTATGCCTAGTTTCGCTTCCGCACCTGCGGTTACGACCCGTGCTGGCGGCCCACAACCTAAGCTGTCAATGGCCGAGAGACGCGGTGCACCAAAGCTGGGTGGTCTGCCCGGAGCAGCACCTGCCGGAGGTGCCCCTGCTGGGAAGAAGCGACCGGGCCTGACCCTCTCACAAATGAACGGCGGCGCGCCGGACGCAGAGCCTAAGAAACAAGAAACCGCGTTGGATAAGTACTCGGATTTCATCGACACCAAGACTGGTAGCCTTAAGTTCGCAGGCAAGGCTGTCCTGAACCCCGACGGCGTCCAGTTCGCGAACGGTACATCCTTCAATATCTCGCTAGACGAAGTCGATACGCTGGACGAGCTCGGTAAGGGAAACTATGGCACTGTGTACAAAGTGCGGCATTCAAGACCGCGCATGAGGAAGGTCGGCCAAGGTCTCGCAGGAAACAAGGCGGCGCCGGGCTCACCGTCACGGAAGGACTTCAGCGAGGAACCCAACCCAACGACCGCGAAACCATTAGGAGGTACGGGTATTATCATGGCCATGAAAGAGGTCAGGCTGGAACTTGATGATTCGAAATTCGCTGCCATCATTATGGAGTTGGATGTCCTCCACCGTTGCGTATCGTCCTACATTGTTGATTTCTATGGTGCCTTCTTCCAAGAAGGTGCTGTGTACATCTGCATGGAATTCATGGATGGTGGTTCGATAGACAAACTCTATGGTGACGGCGTCCCGGAGAATGTACTGCGTAAGATCACGCTGGCAACGACTATGGGATTGAAGTCTTTGAAGGACGAGCACAACATCATCCACCGCGACGTCAAACCCACGAATATCCTCATGAACACAAGGGGACAGATCAAAATTTGCGACTTTGGTGTCAGTGGTAATCTGGTAGCAAGTATCGCCAAGACCAATATTGGTTGTCAGAGCTACATGGCCCCGGAGCGAATCTCATCAGGAGGTGTCGCTCAGGCAGGTGCCAACCCAGGGGGTGGCACCTACAGCGTCCAGAGTGATATCTGGAGTTTAGGTCTGACCATCATCGAGTGCGCGCTCGGTCGCTACCCCTACCCACCTGAGACGTACAATAACATCTTCAGTCAGCTCAGTGTAGGTTTCGCTCACTCTGATTATCGGGAATATAGCGTTGACAAGTCACAGGCGATTGTAGATGGAGAGCCCCCGGATCTCCCGGAAGAGGGTTATAGTGAAGCCGCACGCAACTTTGTTCGCGGGTGTCTCAACAAGATCCCCAAGCTGCGGCCTACCTATGCCATGCTTCTCAACCACGCATGGCTTGCACCCATGGTGAAACCCGAGACCATCACCGAAGAAGACGAGGACGAGGTTGCAGCAGCAGAGGCGGCAGAGATCGGTGTGGCCGCCGGTGATCAAGGCCCTGCTGAGCCCAGTAACGATGTTGTTGATAAAGAGGTCGCAGATTGGGTGAAAGATGCGATCGACAAGCGCAAGAGAGGAGTTCTTGGAAAGGCCCCCAAGCCTGCGCTACACGCTGCGCCGCTGGACGCCGTGTCGAGTCCTTCACAGGATGGCGCAAATGGTTTGGATGCCGCAGGTGCACCTGAGGCCGCAACAACCACCTGAGGTCGTTCAAATTGCCTATGGAATTCGCTGCCCTTCCATCAAATTATGCAACTCATGGGGTTGCGACTGTACCAGTTGTAGATCTGGAGTTTTGGGATTTCTTGTTAGATGCTGTATAACGGCACCGGCGCATACCCGTGGGAGCTATTGAGGCATGGCTGTTGGAGCATTGGGCGGTAAGCAACACATGTAACTAAATGACACACATGTACAACTTGTCCTTATCTTCATAGCTTCTGACACCTGTTGAGATTCCGAGTGGATGATGGAAGCTCATGTGACGTACGTTAGTGAAAGTGCTCTTGCCAAGAACGCGGGAGTGGCTTATGCCTGTGGCGCTATGAGTGAACACGGTGGTCGCAACCCTACGTTTATTGTCCAGCACCTTCTTTTGAGACAGCGACCTTTCTCTACCTGCCATACCCCGGATTTGAGACAAGCTTCTTCCACCACACATGCACCCGGCCTGCGACTGGATATCTTTTCCTTACCGCCACTCTCTTTGCACCATCCCCGTGTGAGACGCATCCACAATGTCGTCCGGGACAGATTACAACTACGATGAGCAGGTCCGTTCGCGCGCCCACTTGGATCGCGACGCCACTAACAGCCTGCAGGGTCAATTCTTCCCCTACTTCATTCTCACAGTCACGACACTCGTCACCGTTCCTGCAACAATCTCTTTCTTCAGACCGAGTAAAGGTGCGCATTCCCGCCGTTGCGCCCGCCCCGCACCCACCCTCTGACACGTATACAGAACTCGAGAACACGGGAACAACAATAGAGTCCGACTTCACGCCCGAACATGCCGACCTCATCCAGGGCCAGCGGAAGAAGCAGAAGCGCGCGGAGCGGAGGACGAAGCGGGGAGTCCTCATGCTTGGCGGATGGTCGTTGAATGCTCTCATGCTGTACTTGATCTGGGTCACAGCGCGGACCGTCACCAAACTCTGGGACCCCTATGAGATTCTTGGTGTTTCGATGGTACGTGCACATGCGGATCGCACCGATTGATGGGACAGCAGTCTAACAAAGAGGACAGAACGCGGACGAGAAGGCGATCAAGAAGCACTACAAGAAGCTCTCCATCAGACTGCACCCCGATAAAGCGCGCGAGGACCCTTCGAAGAACATCACCATCCAGTCGATCAACGACCATTGGGTCGACATCACCAAGGCGTACAAAGCCCTTACAGACGAGGAAATCCGCAACAACTACGAACAGTATGGTCACCCTGATGGCAAGCAAAGCTTCAGCATCGGTATCGCGCTTCCGCAGTGGCTCGTCACACAGGGGTCCGGCAAATACGTCCTGCTCGTCTACGCAGTCCTGCTCGGTGTCATTCTCCCCTACATGGTCGGAAAGTGGTGGTACGGGACACAGAAGCTCACCAAGGAGAAGGTCCTCATTGCGAGTGCCGGCAAGATCTTCCGCGAATACGATAATGAGCAGGGCGAGACTGGTGTCATTGGCGCACTGAGCACAGGCGAGGAGTTCAACGAGGTCTTCACAGGTCACAAGGCAGAGAGCGGTCTTTCCAAGCTGGAACAGAAGGTTCTGGGCGACTTAGACTCGGTTGTCTCACGGGTACTCACCAAGAAGGACCGACAGAAGCTCGACGATCTCGAAGACAGCCGACGACGCAAGGTTTTGACACTCCTTTGGGCATATCTCGGCCGTGTCGAGCTCGAAGATGATTCCCTCAACGACGAGAAGTTCGAGGTCGCGCCCATTGCCATCCGCCTCAACGAATCCTACACATCGATCGCACTCGCCTACGGCAGCACCAAGGCTGTCCTCTCTGCATACAACACATCGCAGAACCTGATCCAAGCACTGAGGCCTGGCGCCTCTCCTTTGGAACAACTGCCGCACTTCACACCCGCCATTGCGGCGGCAGCCGAAGCCGAGCATGCAAACACACATCTCTCCATCCAGGACTTTATGCAGGTACCCGAGGGTCAGCGCCGGGCGCGCATCGGTGGTCTTCTCTCGCAAGAGCAGTACAGCACAGCCATGTCAGTCGCATCGCGGATACCCGTCTTCACTGTTGAGAAGGCTTTCTTCAAGGTCGTTGGAGAGCGTTTCATTACACCGAGCAGCTTGGTTCAGTTTGTTCTGAAGGGCCGCTTCATCCCATCCGGTGCCTCTGGTGTCCCCGAAGTCAACCCCAAGGATCTGCTCGACATTGACCCTGAGGAGGGTGACGTCGCTGCTATCACTGGCCGCAAGACTGATCGCTCCGGCGAAAAGCCCATCCAGCCTCCTCTCGCACACGCACCGTACTACGCCCGCGACCATGCACCGAGATACCACGTCTTCCTTGCCGACAGCAAGCAAGGCCGCGTCGCTGTTCCGCCTTTCACGTTCTCCACATTCGATAAGCCTATCCTCGATGAGAGCGGCAACCCCACCTACAACGTTCAGACCCTCAAGATGCAGTTCGGCGCACCGCCTCAGGCCGGCAGCTACACTTTCGTCATGCACATGATCTGTGATAGCTACATTGGCATGGACACCAAGATGGAGGTGACACTTGTCGTCGAGGATGCTAGCAAGGCCGAGGAGCTCGAGGAGGAGGGTGAGATCAGCGAGCCTGATGAGGGTACGTTCGAAGCACACACAAATACAACACAACTAACGGTACTGCAGACACTATCGCTGGTCAAATGCGTGCCCTCAAGGGTGGAGAAGCACCGAGGAAGAAGCGGGCCGACGACGACTCGAGCGGCAGCGACACCGAGGGCGACGTCGAGAGCGAGAGCGAGACAGACACCGACACCGACACGGACGATGAGTAGAATAAGAAGTACGTGAAGAACCTAAAGGAATGTACTCTGGCTGCAAGGGGAGGATCATGTGGAGCCGCGCTGGCAGACATCCTGTTGTCAGACCGGATGGGTCGGTTGATGGCAGGAAAAGAGGAGCAAGATGTAGTAGCTGGTGATGATACCCTGGGGGTGGTAGACTGCCCTGGAGTCGAGGGCGGAGGAGGTTTGACGATGGCATTTCATGGCGTTTTGAACACGTACATATTCCGTGTGGTAACTGCACTTCTGTACAAGACCCGGGAGGATCTGGGCGTAAATGCGAGCACTCTTCTTTCTTCAACCAGCGAATCCTCTCTTCCACACCGCTACCAATCTCGCTCTCCTACTCTCCTGATCCCATCTCGCGCACCTGCCGCTCGCGCGCCCAAAACTCCGACGCTTCTCTCCGCATCGCCTCGACCCTTTTCCCATCATCCCTTCCCGCTTCGGCACGCGCAAGCAACGTCCTCGCTCGCTTCTCCCTCTCAAACGCACTACCCTCCCCCAGCTGCGCGAACATCGCACTCGTCTGCTCTGCACCGCCGTCCCACTCGGATGCGGGGCACGTCCCGTACCACGCCGCAGACTGCCACGCGACGCGCCCCTTCCACTCGACTTGGCCCAGGACGGTTTGCAGCGCGGTCGTGGCCATGTCTTGACTTGCTGGGGTGAGCGTGGAGAGCGAGTGTGTGGCTGCGGTTAGCAGGGTTAGTGTGGACGGGCTGATGTGCATCCAGGTTGGGGATAGAGAGGGTGCTGCGCTAGTGTGGGGGGAGGGCAGGATGAGGATGAGGTCTTTGAATGTCTCGGATGCGTCCACGTCGTCCAGCAGGGGCAGAACTATGTCCAGCGGCGAGCCGGGATGTAACGGCACGACGTCTGCGTCGAAGTACCTGCGCCGTGTCAGATGATGCGGCGCCCAGCGTCGAGCGGGGGGAGGGCGGCGCACAGTATCCATTCTACGCGCGCATCCGCCAGTTTTTGTAGTTCGGCGCTCAGCACGGCGAAGAAGAAGTACAGCGCGTTCGCGGCCCCCTTGACCATCGGCGCGCGCTGCGTGTGCATCTCGTACCCGAACATGGCGTTTTGCGCGGCGTGCAGAGCGAGCGTTTGCTTCTGTGTCGCTGACGACGAGGGGTAGCATGTCGTTGCTTTGGCTAGGCAGGAGGG